AAAAAAAAAAAAAAAAAAAAACAAAAAAACAAAACAAAAAACCAAATTTTGCTAAACCCAAATAGAATAGTTGTACATTTTACATAAACAGTTGTACTTCATATTAGTTGTTATAGTAGGGTAAATATATCATTTGTTAGTCAATATCTGTATTAGTATATAAAGGGTAGAAACCCTAATGTGTAACAAAATTATTCATTCTTTCATTTTCAGTAAAGCTGCCCCTCTTTCCTTTCTCTCGTTTCTTCTTCCTTTTCCTTTACTTTCTTCAGATCTAATATGGTATCACTCGCCGATTGATTCATGTTTTGATTCCGCTGCATCCTGTTTTGATTCACTGATCGATCTAATCTTCGATCTATATTTTTTTTCTGATTTACGATCGATCTGTCTCCGATTTTGTTTTTCGATCGATTTCCGACGATCTGTCTCCGATATTGATTCTGACGATGACGACGCCCGTAAATCAGAGCGACGATCCTACATCACCGTTCTACCTTCATCCCAGTGACAATCCCGACGCTCTTATTGTCGCGAAGAAACGACGACAATTACGTGTACTGGTCACGCGCTGTATCCATGGCCCTCAGCGTCAAGAACAAGCTTGGTTTCATCAACGGTACATTACTTGCCCCAAATCCCACTCAGAACACTGGTACATCTTTATCCTGGACTTGATCCAATAACCTTGTGCTATCTTGGCTGTTGAATTCTGTAAATAAGGATATCCGTCAATCCTTATTATTTTTTACAAATGCACAAGATGTCTGGAATGAGTTGAAATCCTGATATGCCTTGTCTACTGGACCTAGGGTTTTTCATCTCGAGAAATCTCTAAGCACAATAGATCAGAGTACTATGACTGTCACTCAGTACTACAACAATTTTAAAACCTTATGGGATGAATATGTTATTTATCGTCCCATAATCAAGTGTGTGTGTGGAGCCTTTAATAATTGTACTTGTAAAATTTTTGAGGCTATGGCTACTGCTCAAAAACATGATTCTGTAATGAAGTTTTTGATAGGCTTGAATGAATCTTATTATTTCCTGAGAAGTCACTTCCTATTGTCTACCCCATTACCACCTCTCACTACCATTTACTCATTACTTCTCCAAGAAGAAAGCCAGAGAACTCTATCAAACACTATCAAACCTGCTCATAATAGACTAGGACATGTTAATCATCATGATCGTTCTATATGCCATAATAGACTAGGACATTTGTCTTACTCAAAACTTCACACATTACCCATTTCCTTATTCAAAAGCAAAACTATACATCCATGTGATGTCTGTCACTTTTCTAGACAGAAAAGACTGTCTTTTACTGAAAGTGTTTCTGTTTCCACTTCTCTATTTCAACTGATACATTGTGATGTGTGGGGCCCATTTTCTACTATCTCTCACTCAGGTCACAAATATTTTCTTACTATTGTAGATGACTACAGTAGAGTAACCTGGATTTATCCTACTACTTTAAAATCTGACATAAAAATCATTTAATTCACTTTTACAACATGGTGTTAACTCAGTTTGATAAGAAAATACAAACCATCAGGACTGATAATGGTTCTGAATTTTTTCTCAAACAGTTTTACACTGATCATGGCATAATACATCAGACTTCATGTGTTGAAACACCTCAACAAAATGCTAGAGTTGAGAGAAAACATCAGCATTTATTACAAGTAGCTAGGGCTATTTTATTCTATGCTCATTTACCTCTGTCATTCTGGATTGATTGCATCCTTGCTGCTGCTCATATAATTAATAGAATTCCTACACCTGTTTTACATGGTAAATCTCCTTTTGAAATGTTATTCAATAAACCTTCTACCTATGATCATATGAAAATTATTGGTTGTCTTTGTTATTGTTCAACCTTAATAGCCAACAGAACCAAATTTGATCCAAGAGCCTCTAAGTGTATATTTTTTGGATATCCTTTGGGTTGTAAAGGGTATAAACTTTACAACTTGGATACCAAGAAGACATTAATTTCCAGGAATGTCATTTTTTATGAAACTGTATTCCCTTTTGCAAACCTTTCAATTTCTGAATCTCCCAAATCATTGTTTACAGAACCTGATTCCCATTTCGTTTTTGATACATTACAGCCTCAACCATCTAACACACAACCATCAACTGTTATTCCATATCAACCAGATATTTCTACATTACCTATTGGCCATAATCAATCACCATCACCTTCTCATATCATGTCATCTCATAACCAAAATATTTCTTCAAATCCAACTCATACATCTGTTCCAAACTCCACATCAAATCCTTCCCCAATCAGAAGAAGATCAAATAGACCTACCAAAATCCCTGCATATCTAGATGTCTATAAACATTCCATCAATTCAAATACTGATTCTTCTTGTTCAAACACGATTTCTGACATTCCTGGTACAATCACATATCCCATTTCTGATTTCTTATCAACCAATAGATTGTCTACTGACCACAACTGTTTTACTGCACAAATTTCTTCTAAAACTGAACCCAAAACTTTTAAACAAGCTGTTAAAGATCCTTTATGGCAAGAAGCCATGAACAAAGAATTAACAGCTTTAGAACAAACACATATCTGGGTTCTTACTGATTTACCAAAGGGCAAACATTGTATTAGTGGTAAATGGGTATTTAAAATCAAATACAAATCTGATGGATCTATTGAAAGATATAAGGCTCGGTTGGTTGCCAAGGGTTATACACAAGAAGAAGGCATAGATTTTTTTGATACTTTTTTACCTGTGGCTAAGATCACAACTGTTAGATTTCTTGTTGCCTTAGCATCTCTCAAAAACTGGCATGTACATCAATTAGATGTAAACAATGCATTCTTGCATGGTGACTTACATGAAGAGGTATACATGTCTTTACCTCCTGGTTATTGCTCTGATTCTGAAACAAAAGTTTACAAATTAACCAAAAGTCTATATGACTTGAAACAAACTTCAAGACAATGGTTCCAAAAGCTAACTTCTTGTTTGTTATCTTATGGTTTTAGTCAATCCGTTGCAGATTGCTCCTTTTTTTACATGAATGATTCTGTTTCTGTCACAATATTACTTGTCTATGTTGATGATATAATTTTAACTGGTAACAGCCTAGATCATATCATTGCAATCAAGAAACATTTAGATGATTGTTTTACTATCAAAGATTTGGGCAAACTCAAGTATATTCTAGGGCTTGAATTTGCACATTCTGAAAAGGGTATTCATGTGTGTCAAAGAAAATATGCCCTAGATATACTTGATGATACATGCCTTCTTGCATGCAAACCTGCTTTAACTCCCATGGACTCATCTCTGAAATTGAGTAATAATGATAACTCACCTGTTCTTGATAATCCATCTGAGTTCAGAAGACTTGCAGGCAGATTGTTATATCTTTACCATTAGCAGGCCAGATATAGCATATTATGTTCAATCTTTAAGCCAGTTCATGTCTAAACCCACTGAATAGCATCTCCATTCAGCACAAAGGGTATTAAGGTATGTCAATGGCACAATTGGACAAGGTATACTCTTTCCTAAATCTTCTAAATTAGAGCTTACTGCATACTGTGATAGTGATTGGGCATCCTGTATTGATACCAGAAAGAGTGTTTCTGGATACTTAATTTTTCTTGGTGATTCATTAATTTCTTGGAAGTCAAAGAAACAACCAACTATTAGCAGATCTTCTGCAGAGGCTGAATATAGAGCCTTAGCATACACTTCATGTGAAATACAGTGGTTATCATCTCTATGTCATGAGCTAAATTTATCTCTTACTACATCTGTCTCTATTTTTACAGATAGTAGTTCAGCTATAGCTATGGCATCAAACCCAGTTTTCCATGAAAGAACAAAACACATTGAGCTGGATTGCCACTTAATAAGAGAGAAGATAGCTCAAGGGTTGATTCAATTACATCACATCTCCACCAAAGCTCAACTGGTAGATTTCTTAACCAAACCTCTTCCAGGACCTCTATTCAAGACCTTACTTTCCAAGTTGAGTATGCCAAATATACATGCTCCACTTGAGGGAGGGTAATAGAATAGTTGTACATTTTATATAAACAGTTGTACTTCATATTAGTTGTTATAGTAGGGTAAATATGTCATTTGTTAGTCAATATCTGTATTAGTATATAAAGGATAGAAACCCTAATGTGTAACACAATTATTCATTATCTCATTTTCAGTAAAGCTGCTCCTCTTTCCTTTCTCTCGTTTCTTCTTCCTTTTCCTTTACTTTCTTCAGATCTAATAAATCCTAAATTAGCAAACCACAAATTTGATCTCAAGGCGGTTACATGTTGGATCCTCAAAGCGGCGGGCGACACCGACAGAAGGAGGAAGGAGTCGGACATGGAGTAAATCTTGAATGGAATGTGATGTTGGCGACGGTTCAGATGCTCTAAGGATGCAAACGTCCCGCCGGTGGTGCGTGGCGAAGGCGGGTAAGCTCTTGTGACGTCAGATCTGTTGACGATGGACGGGTTTGGTTTTCTTTGACTCGGCAACAGATGTATTTTTTAATGGTGATAATGATGGAATTGAGATAAATATTATCTCGTTTTAATGGATATTGGCCAATAAAAATGATTTATCCCTAATTGAGATAAATATTATCTCGTTTTAAGGCACCGTAAAATAGGTAATTATCTCAAAATTATAGCCTACAGATGAACCTGATTAGAAATGTAGCTTGGTTTATTGATTAGACTTTTGGGCCCACCAAATTAAGAAGTTTAACCACAATACATATGCTTGTAAGATAAAAGCCCACTCACTATATGAGGCCTTGTGCAAACTGTGATTTTCTCAAAACATATTTATGAATTCCTAGTTCTTTTTTTTTTTTCTTTTTTTCCTTTTTTTTTTGTGTGTATTTTGATTGTTCATAGCTTGTGAAATAAGTATGATGGCGGTTGACTGGCATGTAGGAGTTAAAATATGACAAAAAATAATTACAATAAGACAAAGTCCAATTTGTACTCGATGAAAAAAGAATGTGGGTAAAAGGAAAAAAAGAAAAGGTGCTAGCTAAGATCCGGATTGAGACTCAAATCAAAGCGGATTATTCATCCATTCGCTTCTCAACTCGTAAAGGTTTTGAGAAAATATCAAGGAAAAACATTAGAAGTGTGTGAATTTTATGCTCACATGAAAAATGACTAATTTGAGAAAAAATATGAATAAATTTGAAGGTGTATGTACATATAACGTGTCAAAATAACCTTGTATATGATATAAACTCTTAGATTAATAGGGAGCAAAAGTCAAAATAATCTCGGATATTCTCTCAATTCCAATAAAAAAAAATTGTATAAAATGTGAATTGTTGATCAAAACATGTATGTGGATGGAATTTCTAAGGAGTAAATTAATTTTTGTTGGGTCCTTGTCGTTTTTTAGGTTCATTAGAGGTTTTATTGGTTGAAACTTTTGATTGTCTTGATACAATTTATTTGAAAAAAAATATTTATGTATAACAATTAAAAAAAAAAGGCACCACACATGAAATCAGATAAAGATTCAAGTGTTATATATAAGTCCTATGATAAAATTATTTTTAATACATCTCACAATTATAACTAATTTTGGAATCTATATATATATAATTGCTAGCTAACCTCATTTAATAAAACATTTAATAAAAATATTTTCATTTTCCCTCCAAAAGAAGTTACATTTTTTTAATTAATTACTCATTAATGTCACATTTAAGAAGGTTTTTTTTAGTTAAACTTAATTAGTTAATGACTAAATTAAAAAAATTTCTTTTAGTTAATCCACATTTATGTTTCTTATTCTCATTTATATATATAAACGTGACAGTCATTATTGTTGTGCAAAAACTATATATTATTATTTTTTATTTCATTATGAATTGAATAAGCAATTAAGTTATAAGAAATATTAATAGATGTATTAATTACAAACATTATAATACATATCATGTTACATTACAATATAAAAAATGAAATTATTTTTTTGGTAATTTAATTTCCAGCCATACTCAATCAAATTTATAACTACAAAATGATAAGAAAAATTAGTTTCATAATTAAATTAAAAATTTAGCTCCCCAAATGGTAAAACCTTATAAATTAGTAGTATAGATACATTTAAATGACATATAATTTATAAACTTAGACTATACGCATAATAAGATGAATTATGAATTAAATAAATAAATTATTATTCTAACACAGTCTATATAATTATTATAGCAAAGTCTATATTGTCAATATTATCATTTAAAAAGTTCATTGAAAAAACATATGTATAAAAAAAATCCATATGATCATAATTAATTGTGCAAAATTAACATTCTTTGACTTTCTATTTGGTAGTAATAATAAAATATTTTATATTACTACTATTCAATAAAATGCATGATTTCTGCATATTTGATTATCGCAATCAACATTCTTTTTTTATAAATTAAAAAGTGTCTTGAATCAATTGTCTCATATTTTACATTAAAACAAAATAACTGTTGGCCGTGAAAAAAAACATTATTTCACAATTATAAATATAAAAATAATTAATTTTCATTAAACAATTCCTCTTTAAGAAAAAAGTGGCGGGACAAATTTCTGTATGATTATAGCATCAAAACATATCTAAAACATCAATATTTTAATGCATTAAAAACATACTTTCAGCAACAGAAAAGTCATATTAAACGGAAATTGGCAAAGTCAAAGAATGAGAATTGACAAGGCATTGTATGTAATGGCAGATTGTTGCATAATATAGAAATATCAACCATAATTAATAATCAACAAAAAAAGTTAAATCTATATGAAAAAATCAAAATTAAAAACACAGCAAATTATGTGGAACATTATTGAACACTATACAATATAGAAAGAAAAATAATTTGATTTCTCTATCATTATCAACATATTCAACTTTTACCAAGACATCTGCCTTTATATTAAAATCGATTTTTTTGCGTAAAAGTTTTAAAAATAAAAATTCCTACAGATTCTTTTAAACATTAAACAAGAAATTCCTAATATGCGATAAATATATCTAAACAGATTTGTTATAAACTTACCTAATATTTTCAAATTTTGAACAAAATACTAAAAAATTTGAAAAACTTCGGCAAAAGACTTTGAATAACTTCGAAAAGCGATTTTGAACAAGTGTTAGCAAAGCTTCACTTACTGATATGATGAAAAAGACGACAAAAAATTGAACTATTTAGTTTTTAAAATCTGAACAAAATACATAAAAGTTACATATGTATGTTATAAAAAGATATGAACAGATATGTTATAAACTTACATATATATTTGTTAGTAGAGTTGAACATATCTGTTAGAAACTTACATATTTTTTTAAACCCTGAACAAAAAACATAAAAGTTTGAAAAAGTTCGACCAATGTCATGTTCTCTTCGAAAAACGATTTTGAAAAACATCTAAATAATTTCGAATTATGTATAAAATATAATATATCTTGAAGCTTATTCACAAAGAATTTCGGAAAATGACATAGATCATTGAAAATAATAAAAAATAAAAACTACGTTTAACAAAAAATATTTCAGCTCATCATAGATTTGTAATATTATCGCCCGATTTTGACCAACCTGTTAAGATTTAGCAACACAGATTAAGAAATCGGGACGAATATTTTATTTTTCGATCATTACTGTTGGTCACAAAAACAACATTTCTCGGATGTCTTTTTTTTTTTTTTTTTAAGCCTTTACCGGGAGAAAATCTCCAGTAAAACAGTTGTTTTGTATTGAATCTCGCCGAGTTTGTCGTAATATCGGGTTAAGGATTAGGGTTTCAGACAGAGTGAATAACGAGAGAAGCGCTGACATCATACAAAAAAAACGGCTTACATCACTTTCAAGGAGTTTATCTCTATTTATAGTCACGTTATCACTGACCTGTTTTATATTTGATTTTGGCTACCCTAAAAAATTAAGTGGACTTCTAATTTGGGCTTTTTTTATCATTCAATCAATATATTTCTTTATGGCCCAAAAATTGTCATTTTGTTCAAATGTCTTAAATATTTGGCACATATCATTATTTATCAATCAAATACAATTATTTATTTTGTAATATTTTGCTGGTATTTTTTTAGTATTTTTTTTTAAATTTCCTATATGATCTATATTACAAAATACAATAATTATTTAAACAATTAAAACCATTATATGTCTTAATTTGAAAATATGATTTGTAGTGATGAAAATTTTGTTGATAGAAAAACCAGAAAGGTTGTATATAAAAAATTGTTTAACAATATTTAGTTATTATTTTTTAGAATATTTTTCCAATGATTATATTATGATTTTTACTGTTATTTATATATTTTTATTATTTTTTGTTCTATTATATTGTTTTCCGTGCAAATGCACGGGTTAAAAACTAGTTTCCATATAAACAAACACATCATCATGCATCTTTCACATTTGTTTATTTTTTTTGTTTGTTTCATGTCGTAAAGGTCCACTAGCAATTTGGGATTAGTGATGGTCAAAAGTTTGAGATTTTCCCCTCAATAACGCCCAATTAGCAATGAACTTTAGTTCATTACTTATTAAATCATTAAATAATACATGTTTCTAAATTTCACACTTTATGAAGGCGAATAGAAAACGCGAGGTAACTTCGGAAGCTTTCATCTGTAATCCCATTTTTTGATCATTATTAGATTCTCATCTTCACTTTTCCACCACTTTCTAATACTTTATTGTTGTTTTTCACTGAAGGGTTGATATAAATTAATATAATCCAAAAAAAAAAAAGAATCATTTGCTTTATTTTTCCCCTGATTTTCTCTGTCGTGATTGGATGATAAGAATATGTGAAAAGGTCAATAGAAATCATTTGTTCAAAATATTATAATTATGCTTTATCAGTGTTTTTGAATTGTGCTAGTGGAATTATTAAAAAAAAAAAGAATAAATAAAATGGACTACATGAAAGTAAATTGTGAGATAAATTTTGATTGACGAGACAAAAAATGAAACAAGTTCTTAGTCGCCACAATTTTTTTCAGGTTGTTTACTGGTTAGATCATTAGATAAATCTATTAAACCAACATTACATAATATGTTTAGAAATAACTTTTATATAAGTACATAATTAATTGAATATTTAAATAGTTCAAATCCTACTGATGCCTCAATTAATTGGTACGCATATTAACACGTATTCAATACATATAAATATATATTAATTCAGAAAACCAAATTTAAGTGCCAAATTTATAAGTACAGCCATAGTTTCCACAGCATTTTGTATTTTCCATTTTTCCTTCTTAACTGGAGTTACTTGATTGATCCAATAATGTCAGCAGTATTTTCAATTGTTTTTTCCAAAATTTTTATTTTTTAAAAAAATTTCGATCGTTAAAAAGACGGGCCAAATAAAACAAAAGTCAATTAAAACGAATGTTCCCCACCAAATTATTAGTGCGTTTGTACTGTGGTTAGTGTGTAGGTGACGCTGCTAATAAATTTGCTTTCGTATTTCGATGGAAA